AATTGCCATTTTGTCAAGTATGTTATTTCCGAGTATTTCTTCCTGTACAAAATGGTCAATCAATAAGCCCAGCCAAAATGTCAGTTTATTTTCAAGATTAAGTTATCTTCTTTGTGCACATCAGTTTTCTCTACAGGCAACTCTAGAGTAGAAAATACAGCACACAATACAAACAATATTGTTTGCAGTGTGATAGAAACTTCAGAAAAGCATAAACTTCAAACAAAAGATAGAAGGCTTTAAACAGAATTTTTATAAAGCAAGGGTGAACCTCCTTACCCTTGTGAGCATCACTACACATTTACAAAACAATTTTAGAAATCAAACCTTGAGTTTGACAAGCAGCTTGGTCTTTTTATTCCATGGAGATTGATCTCAACATGTTGCAGAATTGTTTTTCATGTGTCAGTGCAAGCATGAGCCCAAATCTTCCTATGATTAACATCAATATGTGTAAAGAGTTATTTAATGCAAATAAAAATCTAAATCTGGATAATGGGGTCTCCTGCATCTATTAAAACACCAGACACCAGCTGGAGCATCACTGACACCAAAACCTCTCTAAAGGGATTCCTACAATAGCTTTATGTATTGTGTGTAGTCACACTGAGAGGGATTATATGGGACCTATTTCCCTCGGTGCACAGATGTGAACATAAAACAGCTCATCTGCTGGATGGCCTACTCTAGCTGCAGATGTAAGGCATGTACATTTTACATGTCTTATTTCAGGAATATAAAACAGCTCTATTTTGCTTTCCCTATGAGCAACTGAACACATCAGAAGTCTCTATTTTCAGTTATCTGTGCAGAAGTGGTGTGCAGAGCTATTTCTTTCAAATAGATGAAATACATAGTAATATAAAAACTGCACTGACCTCTTCCAATCACAATGTGCAGTTCTAGCCTGGTACCTGCTCAGAAAATCTAGTTGGCTAAACCTTTTTAGAAGGTTTTAGAAGCCCATACTAGTTATTATAAAATTAAACTGTATGTTATGAGGGTATGCCATTACTTTTCAAATCTTTCTCCTTTATAATAGAGTGTCTGATTGGCTCTGAGCAGAATGAAACTCTGTCTGGCTTTATTAGTTCAGGGTCAGATGCTTCTGTCAGTAATGAAACCTTGCTTAAATCCTTGTTTCAGTGTCCCTTTAAAAGCCATCAAAGAAGGGGGTAGGAGGGGAGAGGGGAAATTATCTGTCTGCATAGCTCACTGTCAAGCAAAATGCAGGCCCCTGTTCCATTTATCAGCACACATTTTCCAAAATGTGCAATATTATGAATTTACACCTAATTTTGTATGCTTAGGGCACACCTGTCACCTGGTATGTTCAAGGAAACTGGTCAAGAATCAAGTTCATTATTTTCACGTGCTGATAGACAAAGTGGTGCAACCAGAACTGAGCAGGAGGTATGCAGCTTATAACAAAGAACAGTGAGGATATTTGCCTGTCTAAACCAGTTTTTTCCCACTATCCTGGACAAGGAACAAATAGTGCTTATTTAAGTATGACTATGATTCCCTAGATATGTTTCTACAGGAACAAAAGCAGCATTCACCCATATAGACCTATAGAAGTTAATTTTTATATAACTATCTGCTTTTCCACTGAGTTCTTGAAATCTATAGAAGTACCGTCAGCAGCAGGATATTCTACTTTCTCTCTGCAATGCTTCCTCTCATCACTAGTGACTTTCTTTTGTAATTTACAAAGTTTTTATGCAAGCTACTTCTGGAGTGTAGTAATGAACAAATGGGAGTAGGTTACAACGCCAGATACTTGCCTCTACAAGACTAGACAGCTAATAGACATTTGTTAGAAGAAATGTTAGCTTGAAAACCTAACTGTACTGATGCTTATATAAAGCAAATTTTCATATCTAGAAAAATTTCTATTCATTTTTTCAGAGACCAGGAAGAATTGAGGGGAGAAAACTGGCTCAAAGGTGTGGCATGCTTTTTTTCCTGAAGATGTAGGTGTTATTTGAGAGATGTGCTGTGTTTAGTCTCACACTTGATAGTGAGAGAGCTGCAAATATGTCCTAGATGTAAAACAAAAACTGAAACCTACCAAAAAAGAAAAAAGAAAAAAAGAAAATCACATTGCACTGGGAGCAATCATGCTCTCTGAGAAGGGAACACAGGCTGTCCTGTTGTTGTGATTTCTTTTCTGTGAAATATCCTATGCTGTTAAATGTAACTTTCTGGCTTTAAGACTGAGTAACTGGATGTCTTTTTTGTAGGGCTTTTTTTCCACCACAGGCCTCATAATTTAATCCTAAATTGAATAAAATATTATTCACAGTCAAATATGATCTGTATTTAATACCTGCTCAATTCTTAAATCCACTGTAAAAAAAACCTACAGAAAGTGCTGTGACACTGTATAGCAATGTGCTATTTTCAAAGTGCTGTTTATTCTAGCAGCTGAGCAGCTCTACTAACACTCAGTAGTGGAAATTTTAAAAACTCCATAAAACTCTGAGCATGCTCTCTGTAACCCTGCTCCAATAGGGCTCAACATGCCACAGGCATTCTGTGAGCAGCAGAAATTATGAGTCATGTTTGCAACATCCTTTGCCCAAGCAGATTCCTGGAATCTAGCAGGATAGGAATTCCTACAGTAGCTTTCCTTTCTGTGGGAACATTAGAATCTCTGTCTTCTACATAACCACTTATTTTCTATACTGTTAATGTCTCTGAGGGATTTGGCTGAAGCTGGACAAGGATTTAAAAAGTAACCAGTGGTGGCAGAGCAGACAGCATATCCACACCGATTTTCCTTCTGCACGGAATTGAACTAGAAAGTGCTCATGATTGATCTACTTTGGAGTATCTACCACTGCCAGCAGAGACTGCAGCTTATAATTCACAAGTGGGGATGACATAGCTTGGGACGGCAGATTATCGACCCCAGCTGTCTGCCCAGCACCCAGCACACAAAAGACTCTTCATGAGACAGCTGTGGAATCACTGCCTCTCACTGAAATGGGCAAACAGTTTACACCAGCATTCTCTAAATGGGGTTCAGAGTATTCACAGAGTGTCTCAGCCATCCAGAAAAGTGGTGTTGCAAGGATGAGTTAGGGCTAGTACCCTCCTGTGCCACCCCCAACCATGGCACCTCTTCTCACAGACCCAGCTGTGAGCTGCAGCGATGCCAGAATGTGATGCCACATGCAGTTGTAGGAGTCGTGGCAAAAGGAGGTGGAACAGGAGGCCTTTCACATTGAGAAGGAGCATCAAAGATGCCACAAGTGTAAATGTAATGCTTCATAATGCTTTGTATTTTAATTAAGGTTTGGATCAGTTTTATAGTATTAATTATAACATAGCTTGGATACTGTGCCACTGTGACATAGGAAGGAATGTAGATGGAATCCCTACTGAGACATTATGATGCAGAGTTCTGATGCACTGCTTCATGGTGACACAGTCTATTTTAGAGCAGACAAAAATCCATGAAACAAGCAGTTTTCCTCAGATGACCAACTGTAGGAATCATGTTTATATAAATTCAGTGTATGTGACACTCAGTATCAAACAAGGTACAAAACAGTTTTATGTCTCTGAATGTTTTGTTATGATCAAACTGAGCCTGCTATCCACACAGGTATTATTCACTGGGATAAAATTTAGAGGTTAGTTAATCCCTGTGTAAAAAAACTGTGACTTTGAGTGAGTGACTGAGGTATACAGGATTTTCCTGTATCACCTGTGAACCAAAGATGTCAGAGATTTTCGTTCTTCTAGTCCTGCTTCCCGGTATGTCCATATGTCTCCTGGTACATCCAGGTTCTCGGAGGACACAGACTCGCAGCCAGCCGTCAGGGTCGGAAGTGGCAGATCCGGGAGGGTTCCCAAGGGGGGGACGCGGCCCTTTCTTTCCCCGCTGTCCCGCCGAGCCGCGGCCCAGCCGGGCGGCCGGGAGCCGCCCCAGCCGCCGAGGTCGGGCATCCGGGCGTTTGCTGGAGCCGCAGTGCCGGAGAACCGAGCGGCGGCGGCGCGGCAGGAGGGCACAGGAGGGCACCGCCGCTCCGCCACCCGGCCCTGCCCGCCCGCCCCCCTCCTTCACCTGCTGGTGGTCGGGCGGAGCGCGGACTCGGGGCCGCTCGCCTTCCGCCAGCGGCGGTCTGGCTCCGCTCTGCTGCCCGGGCGGCCCGCGGGACGCGGCTGCGGGCGAGGGCACAGCGAGCTCCCCTCGCGTGTGTGTGCGTGCTGCGTCCCGCCGGCGGCCCCGTCGCGGGCACCGTCCCTCCTGCCGAGGCGAGGGCGGCCCGAGGCCACGCGGGCCTCACCTGGCGCTGTCCCGCACCTTGCGGGAGGAGCGGCGCGGGAGGCGGGGCGAGCCGCCGGGCCTGGCCCGTTGCGCCGCCGCCGCCGCCGGGGGCCGGTCTCCCGCTGGGCGCGGGGGGGGGAGCCGAGGCGGCGGCCCCCGCCCGCCGTAACCGCTCCCCATCCCGCCCGCTGGTGCCGCCCCCAGCATGGCGACACGGTAGAGGAGCGGCTGCGCCGGGGCGACCGCCCCCTCCCGCCTCCTCGGCACGGGCACGGCGCGCCGCGGGTGAGCGAGCGGCCTCGGCGGCGCTGCTGCCGCCGGTGCCCCGCACAGGGCTCAGCGGCGGCGGACGAGGAGGAGGAGGAGGAGGAGGAGGATGGCGGTCGCAGCGGCGGCGGGCACAGCAGCGGCGGCGGGACCGAGCGGCCGCGCGGCGGGAGCCAGCACCGTCCCGAGCAGCTCATGGTGGCGCCCCAGACCCGCCAGCAGCGGCCGCGCCGGGGCCGCCAGCTGAGCCGGATCCCGGCGGGCGGCTCTCCCCTCTCCACACCGACCCACCGAGCGACCCGTCCCCCTCCCCCGACGCTCCCTCTCCCCCCTCCCCGGCGCGACCCGCGCCTCGGCTCGCCCCCGCCGGGGCCGGACTGCCACCACCCCCGGGCGCCGCGGGGAAGGCGGCGGCGAAGGGCACCGGGCAGCGCCAGGCGGCGGCGGGACCATGGGCGCGAAGCAGAGCAGCCCCACCGCCGCCAATGGCCGCACCCGGGCGTACTCGGGCGGGGATCTGCCTTCCTCGAGCAGCAGCAGCAGCGGCGGCGCTAACGGGACCGGCGGGCGCTCGGCAGGCGGCGGCGGGCGCTACTCGCACCTGGCGGCGGCGCCTCAAGCCGCTCCCGGCGGCGCGGCGGCCACGGCGGCCACGGCGGCCGGAGGAGCGGCGGCGGCGGGGAGTGCCGCGGGGTCGGCACCCCGGAGCAGGTCCTTAGGGGGGGCCACGGCCTCCGGGGCCCGGGCGGCGCAGTCCGCCTTCAACATCCCCCACAGCAGCGGCCCCTACGGCTCGCAGGACTCGGTCAGCAGCACCCCGGAGGAGGGCGGCCGGGAGCGGCCCGCGGGGGGCGGCGGCGGCTCCTCCGGCGGGCCCCGGCTGGTGATCGGCTCGCTGCCCGCGCACCTCTCGCCGCACCTGTTCGGAGGTAAGGGGCACTGCCGGGGCGGGAGGGTTTGGCTGCCTGGCCCGGCCCTGCGGGGCCAGGGTTGCGGGCGGTGGGATGAGGTGTGCCGGTTCTTTCCCCGGCTCCCAGGTGGGACGGATAGTGAATCATCACTCCAAGCTGGCGTCCCGGTTTGGAGACGGGGCTCTCGGCCGGTGTCTCCTATTGTTTGTAAGGAGAGCTGTGAACGGGGAGGTTAAAAATGAAACGAGCCCGGCGGCGGGGAGGAAGCGGAGCCTCTCCGGCCGGCGACTTTAGACTCTAATAGCTGTAATCAGTGCCTGTGTAAATACTCTTGCCTACTACTTACATAATTAGAATTTAATTGGATCATGTGTCTCCGCCGTTTATTCTAAAATCGGACCAAACCCCTCTTTAGGCACTGATTAATGTGTGGTTGATGCTTGTTCCTCTTTCTAAGTTCTCTGTTCAGAAAGTCGGTACAGAAAAAGAGAAGTTACAGTAAGTTTCTTTGTTGGTGCACCCTCTAAGAGGTGAGCAGAGGCGGCTAGCTGTCCGTGCCGCTGGAGGCCGGGCTTGCAGCACCGGCACCCTGTAGCCTTGAGGATGGGCACGTGTGCTCTTGAGGCAGGAGGAACTCTCGGCTACACTCTAAAATAACCAGGGAGCTGAGGCCCTTGGAGAAGCAAAGTAAACGCGGAGCACGTTGCAGGTTTTTTTGTCTGTCTTGCGCTACCGAGATTAATTGGGCTGCATAGGATGAGGGTTTTACTGCCTGTATTTTTTACCTTGAAGTTGGAAATCATCTTGTTCGTTGCCAGCTGCGTTAAGAGTTGTTGGCTCCCTTAAGTACTGTTCATGCTAAAGGCTGTTCATATAGGTCAAACAATGAGCAAATTTGTTTATTGGATGTATTCTTCAACTGACATTTTTAATACACACATATATATTTATATATATAAATATATGCAGCTATAAACTTAATACCCCAAAGCTTTTTTTTTTTAGGGGATAAAAGAAGAGGCTAATGTAAAATTTCTGCATTTCTTTATTCTTATTAATCCATTTCTGAATACCATTTGTAGGAGGTCGGCTTTCTCGTTTTCTGTGATTCACCCAGCTTTTAGCCAAAGCAGAGCTGTGTGCAGCCTGACCCTCGCAGGGTACACGAGGTTTCTGTCACATGGCCTGCTGCTTCTGGCTTGGTGACCTCAAGTCAGCATAGCTGTTACTTCCTATATCTAAAACTGCCTCGTCCCAGCAGTTGAACATTAACAAAACGCTGTCAAACCCTATTGTAGTAAAATAATATTTTCTTCTAAGAAAGAAAACATAACTATTCTCATAGTACCAAGCTGGTAGACAGGATTGCTTTGTTACAAGGATGCTCATTACGCCACCAAAGTACCTTGTTGGGGAAGAAGGTGCATGTGTTTCTTGTAGTGATGAAAGGATGTGCTATCATGGAGTATTGTACAGTTCGTGCTAAGCACAAAGGAATCATTAGAATGTGTAGCCAGTTGTTGCTCAAAGGTGAAATTTTTTTTCCTCTTCAGTGCTTAGACACTGTCCTGCAACTTGCTTTGGTGCCAGGAGGGAGTGGATTAAATGTAAACGAAGTGATGAGGGTTAATAACCTTGGAATCTGTATTCAGATGCAGGAAGGTCTCTTCAGAATAACTCTGAATGTGATCTTACTTTTCTGTGGCATGTACTTATTTTTTAATTGCTGTACTACACTGTATTTTTGTCCTTGGAGTGATGCAAAGCTTGTTGCTTTTACCAGTGCAGGAGGAGTGCCAGGAGGGGTACACTGTCTTCATGTACTCACTAATGAATAAGGACTGCCATATGTTAGGAGTATAACTGGCAAGTTTCAAGATATAGTAAGATTTTTAGTGAAGAAGCAAATAGATTCATAACTGTCTTGTGACTCCACAAAGACAGTGTGTCTTAATGGGATGAATAACTGCTTAATCATAATACTGCAACACCTGTGAAGAAGGCCTCACTTTAGGCATTATTCTTTCTTTCAATTTAAATATTTTGTGATGTTGATGATACATTACTCCACATCTCACTCAGTGTTGCCATCTTTTTCTAGTTGCATGCTTTTGTGTTTTCTTGATTCCTTGTAATAACTACATGGTTGGAAAAAGTAGCCCAACTGGAGATCATACATTAATAGCATCAGCATTCTGAAAAATAACTTGAAGCATTGTTTTTGTCCTGATGGTAACTAGCTCAAGCTTGTCTAGGTGTGGTATCTGGCATTTATCTTGTGTATCTTGAGCATGCTTGAAGTCCCCTCCCTTGTTTTGTAACTTGCAAATTAGCTGAATTATTTCTTTTTAACCTGAAAACTGCCAAAATTAATTGTGAGGATTAGCATAGCAATTCTGTGAAAATTAAAATAAAACAAGAAGAACAATAATACCTTCTGTAAGTTGAACCAAATCTCCGCCTATTTATGTTTTTAGGAGTACTGCTTGGCTTTGTCAGTCAGTGCCACATGGGTGTTGCATTTGTTAAATTACTGTAATTAATTTGCCATTAGTGAATTACACTCCATTGTCACTTTTACTGAGCTGTTTTGTATGCTGAAGTAATGTATAAATATTAACCCTCTGATGTAACATGCTTAAATCTATACTAAGCTTGTTACTGCACCATTTAAATGAGAATATAAAGGTTACGTTAATGTACTGGCGAGTATGTTCAGTGACTGCCTGTGTTCCTTTAGTAGGAGCTGTGGCAGTAACAGCCTTTCCTGGCTGTGAAGGTCTCCTGTTCCCATCTGACCTCAGGCTAAGGCACTTTTGTGAACAACATACAGTGGAGTAAATGCTGCTGTGTAGCCTGGTCTCATCTCAGGGGGAGTTCAGTTCACTCAACAATCGGTGCCTTGGTCTCACAAAAGTACATATATATGTGTGTGTGTTTAACTTTGTGCTGTGAGCATGCCTGAAGTAGGCTTAGGCCGTTAAGTAGAGTGAGACCCAAATTCCATAAGATCTTAGGGCACTCCCAGAGAGGCCAAACCTGTGCGTGACATTCAAGAGCTTTCTTGCAACACAGTGCCAAGTTCCAGCTTCCTTTAAGGTGATAACACTTATCGGGAGTTTTCACCAGTAGTTTCCCTGCTCTGTTCCTCAGTGAATGGGACTTCCCTTCTCCTCCAGCCCCAAAGTAAATATTCTTACCGTCTGTTATGTGTAGAAGAGTTGGCCCTGAGGAGGACCATGGGGCCAGATTCACATCAGTTTTTCCACTGTGTTTTTAGAGATTACATGCTCGTCAGCACTGCAGCAAAGCTACCACTGTAGTTACAATGTAGCTTGCTTTTGTCAGTGATGCAATTGGTTCAGCTAAAAATGGACTTTTGGGATGGCCTTTGCTTTGGATAACTGCTCATGTGTTACTTCCATCACTTAAAGTGTTGACAGCTCCTTAGAACCCTCTTCATGTTTATGTTCCTGTTTCTGGGTGGTCATAACTGGGAGAATTCTTGACAAAAACACCTAGTATGAGTATCCTTCTGGTGTTCAAATTTGGGAATGTTGTTGTAAGACAACAATCCTTTGAACTGTTTTTTCTTTTGTTCTGATTTGTCATTAAGAGTTTCTTAGGGAGAAATATATAAAAATTCAGCTGAAGATAGCAGAAACTCAAACATATTGAGTTTTTAAAATTTTTACATCAGTTCTTCTTTCAAAGTGATTGAGCAGAGACTGCTCAAATATTATACAGAATCTCAGTTTGTGTTGTATGTGGCCATATGCAATTTTAAATTATGTTTTTACAGATAGATTTTTAAATATATAGTGTTGTCAGATACAGCTGTTAACAGCCTTCATGCCTATGTCAAGATTGGGAATAATGATTTGGAGATAAGGTTGCATCTGTTCAACTCTATTAGGAGAAGGAAGTTTGTTATGTTCTTCTTAAGCCAAATAATGATCAGACTTCTTTTATTAAGTGCTCTACAGTACAGGATTTATCACTAGCTACTGAATGTACATAACGTGGGTCGAACCTTGTAGGTATATTATAGAAGCATCTATTTGTGATAATAGTACAAGTAGCATCTATTATAGTAGCATCTATTTGTGATAATAGTACAAGTAATGAATGAATTCATCATTCTATAAATGAAAGTTTATGAAACCCTCAGATTATAACCTAAATTCCTAGTTGGATTGTGGGAAGCAGATAATAGTAGAAGAATGATGTGAATTTTCAGAAGAGTTTTTTACATGTCTCTCAAACTGCCTAGAGGGCCGCATCTTGTTTTGTTTCCCATCAGATCTGTTTAGTTATAGGATACATTTGGATGTCTTTTTGAGGTTCAACTGTCTTTTGGTCACTTCTCTTCCTGTATGGCACAAGTACTATTGCTTTGAGAAATTATGACACTCTGAAACACTTCAGACCTAATGCTGCTCCCATTTTGCAAGCTAAAGGGCACTCTGAGGTCTTTACCCCCTGAATTGGGAGAAAGGTTGGGAAGTGTGCCTTGGAACAGGACTGTTGGGCTGGTAGGGGCAAGGAATAGAGATGTTCAACTATATCATTGAGTTGACTCCAAAGAACAGTCACTTTTGCAGTCTCTGAAGACATGGGGGATTTTGTAAACACATTAGCATCCCCTTTACCAAAACACAGATTGAAAAATCCATTGTGCTAGGAGAGCAGTCCAAGGGTAAGTCTATTGATAATGAGCTTTAGAAGGTCTGTTCTGACTGATGAGTTTGAAGAATCCAGTTCCTTTGCAGAGTCTCACTGTTCCAGTGTTTAGTTGGGCTGCTCTGTTCCTGTGTGCATTCAGTGGGCAATACACAGCTCCTGGTTTGGCAGCAAAGGTGTAAACCCTCCTTAGTCAAGGACAAGAAAAAGTAGCAAAAAGTCCAACACCACCAGCCACCTGCTCCAGCTCAATCAAGAAAGTGCTTGTAGTCTCAAATGTTAAGTGTTTGGACAAAGTGAGCTAAAAGAAGAACTGTTTGAGTCTTCTGATGGCA